AGAGAGTTGGAGTTGGAGTTGAAAAATTTTGAGCGGAGTTGGAGTTAGAGTTGGAGTAGGAAATTTGAAAACGGAGTTGAGTTGGAGTGGAGTTGGAGTTGAAAGTCAGAGGAGTTGCCCAGCCCTGAAGAGGATAGATGTAAACACGTCACTAATTCAACTAACTAACCTGATGAACTAATTTCTTGTGATAATAATGTCGCTTAACCTAATCCCGTTCGATCGATAACCGCAGCAAATTTTAAAAAACGTTTATTAATCATATTGTTGTAGACATATCGAACACATATGCTGGCTTGTTCAACGTTTGCGATGTCAGCTATTCAAGGATAAAAACAGAAAAGATTTGGAATTTTTAGAAAAGATAGTGAATATAGTTGTGAATGTAGCACTATGTGTGTTCCTACCAGTTTTATCTAACATTGCTGTAAAAAATCGCGCTTTTTTCACTTGAGTAACAATCTGTTGAGAAATTAAATCATTAATACACGAAATAACGATATTTTTTTTTGTTTTTCTAATACTTGTTGCATTTTTCGAAGCTGTTTCCAGATGTTTTTGTAAAGTTGAATCTCCTCCACTGATACGATATTGAAGGAGAGCTCTAAAATTCCCTTCAGTTGTCCGCGAAACACTTTCTTCTATTGGCATATTTAATGCACCGCCGTCGCGATGCCCTCTCATTGCTATATTTTGTTTTCCACATAATAGAACAGTTTCAACGATAGGTCTCAAGCGTCTTCTATTTTCTTAAATTTGATCTCGAAGTTGATTATTAAGAAGCGCCTTAGGTGAGAGTGAGTTATCACATTAATAAGAAAGAACCGAATACATAGCAAAATCTCTATAGTTTTTTTTACACCTGAACACTAATTAAGGGGTTTTTATACGTTTGCAGAAAATTTCCACGTCAACACGACTTTTTTGATGATAACGATTGCTTTCGTGAACGTCAACATAATCGGTCACACCAAATAATCTATAGTAAAGAAGTGCATAAACAAATGAAAAGCTAAAAAATGGAGAGAAACCTTACCTCGTATAACTATCACACGGTGTCGTTACAAACATTCCTAACGATCCGGAAGAGGAAGCGGCTAATAGTGCACAAGGTACACAAAAGAGACCACGTTTTGAGGGAGAGTATTTCATCCACTTGTACTTCATCAAATGCTCAGCACGTAAATATGGCTTTTCTGTTTTGTTTTTTGATTGTCTGGCAGCATGGGGTCAAACAAAGTGTGATGATGGTATAAAATGCTTTGATAATAGACGATAACGTGTTTCGTCATCAGTTCTTTTTCCAATATATAAACCAACATCATTTTCGATATGACGTATATTTTATGGATTATTATCATGAATAAGTCGTATTTGACCATCATTCCCACTGTCGTTAATGATGTAACTTGTTGTTAATGGAACATCATTCAATTTAATATCAGTTTCATCCCGTTTTCTCTGTCGATTATTAATAAAAGGATCACCTTGTTTTTGTTTTTTGGAGAAATACGAGGATAATACAGTTTGATTAAGACGTTTATTAGAACTGATGTCAGACATGTTAGTGATAGAAAGAAAAGGCAGTGTACCCCGAGAGAAAAATGACAATGATCTCGTTCCAAAGTAATATATATGTATATGTATATATTCTATACATATAAGAGGAAATTATGAACTAAAACTCGGACAAGGTCAGAAATGAAAAAGAAAGGTACTACCTGCAGAGTATACTGGAAAAAGACCTACTAACTGTGCAATATACAAAGAATACTGGAGGACAAAATGTACGAGCGGCCACTCTTACCGCTCGCGGGCTGAATCCGCTCCTGCGATTGTCTTATTGGTAATACCGTCACTAACTGGAGTTCTAGGCTCTCTTTTATGCTTTTTAATGCTTTTGTTAACTTTCATAATCAAATTATGCTTGTTAAAATTAACATCGGTGAAATATAACAAAGAAAACATTTACTGTTTTGTTGCGATTTGAATTTTAAACCGCGTTTGACTCTTATTTATTCAACAGATACACATCGAGATTCAATTCGAGAGCTTGACACTTTAGAATCGCTACGACTAGATTCACAACTAGCTGGTATAGTTTCAAAGAGAAAGATAAGCTAGTTGCAGCGCCCAATTTAGCGGTTGTTGCAACTAGTATTAACGATTAACTGCAGCGGGCGCTAAATTGGGCATTGCAGCTAGCTACTCAAACTAGTTTGAATAATGCATCCATTATCCACTGCGTAACTAGTTACAGCGCTCAGTTTAGCGGCCGCTTCAATCAGGGCATTTTTCGTAACGTGTATATGATAAGAGCTAGCTGAAATGACGGCTAAGCAGACCGATGTAGCTAGTCAGCGTAGATTCTAGATTGCAACTAGCGTTAAAACGGGGGTTGCAGCTAGCTCTGTCGAGTTTCATATTTTAAATTTTCTACGCTGTTGACCTGTTATTTGTTACGGCCTGATGCAACGAGCGCTACAGCAGCCGTTGTAGTTGGCATATGTTTCTCTTTGAAACTACTAATAAAAGTAGCCAGCTGCGTTATTTATCGTATTAAGCTTTCATCGACAACTTGTAACTAGTTGCAGCAGGTATCTAATCGGCCGCTATAGTGCCCGCTCCATGGTGCGTACGTTTATGCAGCTAGCTGCAACGGGTATGGAAACTAGATTAGCTAGCTGCAGCGCCCGCTAACCCGCTTCAATATTTTTACATTCTTTTTTAGCTAGCTGCCGTGGGTTATGAAGCTAGGGTAGCTAGCTGCAGCGGGTGCTACTAGCTGATTTTTTCATGCTTGGGTAGATATCGAAGTTGTATCGATATGTCTGTTTGTTAATGACTGAACGTTCTGAAATAGACTTATATTCCCTTTTCTGAAAGAAAGGGTCTTCCAAACAGAAAATGTTTGTCTGTCTGTCTGTCCAACCAATCAGAATGCAGTGTGACGGACGTACATACATACAGTCATGTGGGAGTGTGACGAACGTACATACATACAGTCATGTGGCAGTGTGATGGACGTACATACATATAGTCATGTGGGAGTGTGACGGACGTACATACATAGAGTCACCAATGAGTGTGACGGACGTACATACGTATAGTCAGTGACGAGTGTGATGGACATAGATGCACATAGGTCGATGCGTTCGAGTTTTCTGTGGCAGCAGAGAAGTATAACACTTGTCCTGGCTGCGAACGCGGACTGAAGGGACGCGTGAGCATTGTCTGGAATTCAGAATGGCTATAGACTTACAGTCACTAGAATAAATAAATAACGTGAATAAAGTGAATCGCATCGATTCACTAAGTGCATTGCCTGTAGGTTGAGTGAATGAACTGTCGGGATTATTAGTCATTGTTTTGTAAGTCGATCTTGTCCCTTTGACTGTAAGTCTATGGTCATACGAAAAAAATTCGGTCATACGAAAAAGTACAAAGTGTTTGTGTGTGTGTGTTTGTCCGTACAGAGGTGTGACGGACGTACACACATATAATGACCAGTGAGTGTGACGAACGTACATACAAATAGTGACCAGTGAGTGTGACGGACGTACATACATGTAGTGACCACTAGGTGTGACGGACGTACATACATAGAGTCCCTAATCAGTGTGACGGACGTACATACGTATAGTCACTGACGAGTGTGGAAATTCAGAGTGGAGAAGCCAACTAAGTCTTTTCAGAAAAGGGGCAGCGAATCTGTAGATGAGCGTTACTTGTTTTAAAATGCCGAATGGCTGGGCATGACTCTGCGCAGTTCTTCAAGTTTGATTTTCTCATCGACATCGAGTTTCAATTCTTTGGCTAATATCAGTAAACCATCCGATTTTCCCTTCTGTTCGCCTTTAGAGAAATTACAAGAAATGTTTTAAGTTCTTCCGCGAGCATCAAGAAATTTGACCGAATCCACTAAACATCTAGTGCCAGTGTCCTTGCCGAAATCATTCAAGCTAAACTCTTTGGTAGAATGCGTCCGAGCGTTGTCAACAAGCACTTCGACATCAGGTTCTTTGTATTCCGACTTGAAAGGCAGCATTTCAAAGAGTCGCTCGCATTGACCGAGGATCGTTTCGTTGTCGAAATACGCATCGTATTCGACATTGATGCCAGCCGTCGCCAGAACGTTCAACATAATGTAAGTCATTATTGACCAATAAATCAGATAAATCATAAATCTGGTCCCAGCACATAAAATTTAGAAAATTAAATCTGCCACATTTGTGGTTCAAGACACAACTCTCGAAAATGCTTTTTTCAAACAGAAAACACCGATCTCTAAAATATCTTCTCGATAATTTCATCGGTTTTCAACTACTACATGCGTGCCTGGTAGTTTTGTTGGTTTAAACGTCCCGTACTTCCATCGGCCTAACCAGAATTTTTAGACCAATGGGCAACTTCTATTGTGCCGGAAAAAAACGATGGGTAAAATGGGCAAGTTTTTTGTTGATGGGCCAAAACATTTTTGTCCATAAGAACACAAAAAGATGATATGAGGTTCTTTTAATCAAATATGCATCAACTCAAATTTTAAGCCTAAGCTAAGTCAGGTGTGTTTTAGTCTATTTTTAATGCGTCTGTAAGATCCTTCCTACGGAAGGATCTTACAGGACTTATAGGATCCTTGGACGATTTTTGTAGGATCCTGCAGGATTTCATAGTGTTTTATAGAATTTCTTAAAGTATAGTAGGATCCTGCAAAATCGTACAAAGTCGTATGGTAGGATCCTGTAGGAAGGTTTGGCTTTAATCTAGACGAAGATGAGATAACGATGGTTGTTAATACTACGCATATTTATCCTAATACTCTGGGAATAATTTTTTGGGAAAGAAAGAGAAAGTGCCGCCCATATGTAGAAACGTGAGTGTAAATCACGTACTGATAAATTGAACAAAACAAATAATTCTGGTTTGTTATTCTTGATAAATTTCATGATTTTATTTTTATCCCAAATTATCAGCTACAAGTAACGGATGTATTTGGATATGATTGTTCAACATAAGACTGATCATAATTTGGTCCTATTGTATAACTTTTCTTTAATAATTTTACAATTTCAAGTGAATCTTTAACCCTTTCTTTCCTTTGACTAAACCTAAAGGCTCGGAAACACAATTCACGCAGAAAACATCAACTTTAGGTATGCAACAGTCTCAGTTAAACTGGAAGTGTCAGAAAGTGTCGGAAAAACTTTCGAAATGAATTTAAAAGAAGTTATAAATTCTATTGCAGAAAATACACGTAAAAATTGAAAGTCTTATAATAGGAACGCTTTTTGAACCTGGAATTTATAGACTATAAGTAATCGATTATCGAGCTGGTAACGGGGGTGCACCTGTGACTAGGTTAACCGCCTAGCTAACCGATCGGTTAAGCTAGCTTCGAAGACAAAATATATTTAATACGAGAGTGGTTGTCGAGAAGGCCTGGTTAACTGGTAGGTTAGAGTGGGCAATTGCGCATTTCATTTAGAGATTTGCCCATTGAAATTTTACTTGGCAGACATACCCATGCAGTTTATAAACAGACGCATTAAAAATAGAGTAGCCAGCTGCAATGCCCAATTTAGCGCCCGCTGCAGTTAATCGTTAATACTAGTTGCAACAACCGCTAAATTGGGCGCTGCAACTAGCTTATCTTTCTCTTTGAAACTATACCAGCTAGTTGTGAATCT